TAAACTTACCTTCACTTGCAGAATACCATTAAAGAGTTAATTTGCAAACAAAACCCGTTGTATCTAAAATATCAGGGCGACATATCTTCTCTCCAGGAACAGAAAACATTAAGAAATGTTTTTTTTCTTCACTTTTATAACCAATAAAAGTGAGCGATGCAGCAGTCTTGGTTCCTATGGATACAACAGATGCTTCCTGCTGTCTTCTTGACCTTCTTATCTTGATATTTAACTTTTAATTATTTGAATGGTACGGAGCGATCTGTCATAAAAGTAAAATACGAAAGATAAATTAAATATTATATATAACTATATCACCCTGTTACAAAAAATAAATAAATCACACAAGGAATGTCAACACTTGAACTAAATTGTAATAGTACGTGAACAAATTCCGCAGTTAAAGAAACTATATTAGAAGTGAAATTATCATTTTTATTTAAAAAAAAATTGACTGTTTTGACATTGACTTACACGGCTGCGTTTGTGATTCTCGCGATAACACGTGATTTGAAAAGTAGCAAAATGTTAGCTAAATGTTAAATAAGTAAAAGGCTTAAGTAGCAAAAGAGTCACAAAATTAGCAATAGTATAAAAAGACTAAAATATCATGAAAAGCTAAAAGTTGAAAAAACCTTGTTAACAGTAAAGATTAGCTAAAACAAATTATTCAAAAGTAACAAAAGATAAGCTAAAAGTAGCAAAATGTTCTAAATGTATAGGAAGCGGAAACATTAGGCCCTTATTTTGCTAAAAGTAGCACATGGCTAAATAAAAACTGTAAAGGGCTAGCTTAAAATAGCATTAAACTAGCTAAAAGTCACATTGATATGTTTTAAACAAAGCAAAAATGTCATTAAAAGTAGCAAAAGGAAAGCTAAAAATAGCAACATGTCTGCCTAAAGTAGCATAAGGCTAGCTGAAAGTGTTAAAAAGGGTAGCTGAGAACCACAGAAAAAAGTAGCTAAAATTAAAAGTAGCATAAGAAAAAAAGTTACAGCGAGGATTTAAAGCAGATTTCAAAAGGCCTTTTTGAAATAAAAAAGTTTTRAAGATATCTCAACTTATAGCTATGTAGAAAATGTTTGTAAATAAGGTTACAAATTTTAAAAAAGTWTAAAATTTACAAAAAGCAAATTTCCCAGCAGCCATCTCCTGAATGAGCTGAATTTAACTGTTTAAAAATTATGGATTAGGCAGAAGTAGTTACATGCAAAACGTTATGGAAAGATAATTATAAAATACATAACTAAAAAAACTTGTAAACATAAACAAACACTGTTTTATGTTAGTTTAAACCCTCCTCTCCAGCTGGTGGCGCTGTTTMTGTTACGTCGGTTTAAACGCTGTAAAATCCGAGGTCCCTTTAACTCACCGCGCGTGGAACTCCTGGCCGGTTGTGCCCCGCGTGCAAGGCTGGAGCCACGGTAACTGTTCGATCTGCGTCGGTTCTACTCGTCCCAGAGACCTCACGAACGGACTTCGTGAAACCGATTCAGCGAAAACACAAGTCGGCTTTTGTTTTAGAGTTTTGTTTTGACACCCCGAGACGAGCGGAGGAGAGAGGCCAGCTCGCGCATCATTTTACTCGGCTTTAATTTTCTGACTTTACCTGGTCCGCCGGAATTTACCGAAACTTTCCGAGGGTTGATTTCAACTGATGAAGATGACGGAGGGACTTGAGGAGATCCTTCAACAGCTGACCGAGCCTGACAACGCGGTTATTCAGCAGGTAACGCGCAGAAAAAAGGGTTAAATTGGTAAAAGTTGAACATTTGATGAACTGACGGTTGTTAGTCTTTTTGCCGGTGGGTTCAAACTGACTCTTGTTTTGTCTGCTAGCATAAAACAAAAACCCTATTTCTCCTTCCTCCCCCAGGCTACGGTCCGGCTGAAACAGGCTTTCAATGACCCAGCAATCATCCCATCCCTGTGTGCTGTCATGAGCGGCTCCCAGAACCCTCAGGTACCGGCGTCGGTGGCGGGTTGTTGGTTTTTTTGGGCTGCGACTGTTGTGAACAGCTTTGGCCGCACAGTCGCAAAATGTCGTAATACCGTTAGGACGAGTTGTTGATGCTTGCGATTTTGTCGCATGTAATTTTGAATAC